AATGAGCATTATCAGAGGCCTGATTTGGGGTGGGGGAGTCAGACAAGGCTGCTACTGTGACTTTCTCCCTTGTTGCTTTTAAGTTCTGGCTGAGTGACCTCTCTGGTTCCTCATCCAAAATGACAATCACCATTGAGTTTTTTTGTTTTGTTTTTGTTTTTAACCCCGTAACTATATCTTAAGCCTCTCTTTATTTTTTGTTTTGAGACAGGATCTTGCTAAGCTGCTAAGGGCTTCACGAATTTGCTGAGGCTGGCCTTGAACTTGGGATCTTCTTGCCTTAACCTCTCGGTCACTGGGATTGCATGACCACACTGGACCCTCCATTGCTGCTGATACCCTTCCCAGTTACCACCACCACATGTTGTAAACTTCATGAGGGCAGGAAATGTGGTTCTATCCAGTTCCAGGGGTCTGATTGGTTGACAGGAAGGGTACAAGGTAAAGAAAGAGGAGTAGCTGGGTACTACTGTGGCACACACCTCTGATCCCATCTACTCAGGAGCTGAGGCAGGAGGATCACAAGTTTTAGATCAACCTCAGTAAACTTAGGCCCTGACTCATTTAAAAAGGGCTGAGCATATAGCTCAGTAGCAGAATGTTGGCCTAGCTTGTACAAGGCCCTGGGTTCCATCCCTAGTATCACAAAAAAAGATGGTGGTAGGAAGGAAGGAGTCAGCCAGAAAGTGAGTGAGTGGCAGAGGAAATAGAATGCTTGGAAGTCCTTGAGCTAGGAAAGAGCCTCCATGTACAGGGATAGAAGGAAGGCCAGTGCAACAAGCACAGGGCATGGATAGTGACTGAGGGGTTCACAGGGCTGGAGAGCTCTGTGGGAGGCCAGAAGAGAAGGAATAATGTAGTGATGGTTTCAAGCAAGGGAGTGACATGATTAGTTGACTCTTTAAACCATTACCCTGGCTTCCATTGGGAATATGCATGAGGGACTATAGGATCATCAGGCCACAAGGCTACTGCAATGGTCTGGGGACAAGATGCTGGGGCTTAGTTGAGCAGGGGGCGTCTATGGTGTTAAAACAGTAGTGGGACTTTTGTCTAGGAGAGCCCACATGCTTTTTTCTCTATAAGAAACACTGCCAGAAGAGGCTCCAAGGGAGATGATTCATCCCAAGTGGGAAAAACTGAAAGGCAATTTGGAGAACTTCAATGAGAAGAGCCCACCATTTATGAAGCACTATAGAATCTGACCTTCCTTTCACAGGCTTCTGGACTCACACCAGATTCCACCTCTCCGAAGTTCTTGCCTTTTTTTTTTTTTTCTTTTCTTTTGTACCCTGTTCCTTTCCACTGATGTGGAGAATGAAGGGAAAGAAAGCTTTGGATGTGGCTGTCCTGGCATCAAAGTCCTGTTTTTTTTTTTTTTCTCAGTCCCACCTTAGCTGATGAATCCCTGGCTTAGGTCCAGTTACCAGCTTTCTTGTCTTCAGAACTGGCATTGGCTTTCTAGCCAAGCCAGATCTGCAAATGGCTTTCAGCGTTGAGGAAGAAGATTCCAGGTTACCATTGGTGATGTCATTCCTTAATTCAGTGAGTGAATGTTTATTGACTGCTCCCAGAAGGACAGGAAGAAAGCACTCCTGAACAGCCTCCCTGGGAATCTGACACTGTCACTGACACTGGAAGGCCAGCCCTCTTGTTTACAGGTGTGGAGACTGAGTTCAGAGAAGCGAAGGCATCTGGAGTTTGGCCATTTCTCATTTATGGAACACTTACCACCAAGGGCCAGATTGATGAGACAGACTCCCCATAAACCCCCCTGTGTAACCCCCAGTTACACAGGGTGGGTTATGGCAGTCTTGGAGACTGGGATCTTGCCTGTCAGCTCCAGCCCACCACCTTCCCTTTTAGCCAGCGCTTCCAAGCCTAGTTGATTCAGACCCAGGGAACTGGGGTAGAGCCTGGTTTCTGTACCTTTTTAAAGTTTTGTAGATGATTCAGGTCATAGCCAGGCTTAATAGTGACTGTGGGGTCCCATTGCCTCTGTGAAAGTGGCAGTGGACTGAGGAAAATGGAATAGAGTCTGAAAAATGAGGGCTTAAATCATGGTCTGTAGGAAAAAATCATGAACACAGATTGTCAAAGGTGACCCCTTATCCATCTGTATCTGGGAGAGTTACCAACAGGTTTGAGTGGGATTTGGAAGCAACTTGGAATCTAAGCCTCTGGTTCCCCCTTGCCAAGCTTTGAGGGGATAATGGGTTCTCACTTGCTGTAACTTCCTACCCAAAAGATCCACCTGGCAGATCTGGGAGAAGCCACCAGTAGGAAGGCATTCACACATCAGGTCCAGGCCGAAGACCTTCTTATTACTGTCTTTGCTTCTCTGTCAGCTCTCTGCTCCTCCCAGCCGTTTTTTTTTTTTTTTTTTCTTAAAACTTTTATTTTTTAGTTATAGGTGGACACAATATCTTTATTTTATTTTTATGTGGTGCTGAGGCTAGAGCCCAGTGCCTCATGCATGCTAGGCAAGTGCTCTACCACTGAGCCACAATCCCAGCCTCCAGCCTTTTTTATTTGTTACTGTCTCTCTGTCCAATTTTCCCCTGGGGTTGGGGGAGGACCTATGTTTTCCTTGGGTTGTGTGAAAGGTCCCCATCACCATTGCTGCGAAGCAGCCAGCAGTTAGTGAAGGAATGAGTCACAGAAGGGCTTTCTAGACAGGAACAGTTGTTATTTGTCCAGCCTCTTCAGGCTAGCAGCCCAGAGCCTCCCTGGGCCTGTGCTCCTCTACCCTCCTTGGTCTTTCTTACAGGGCCCAAGCAGCTGCTGATCTGTTTCTGCAGATGGCCATCTAAGGCACCAAGAAGGGAAGCTATTCATTAGAGTCCCCTGAGAACCTATAGTGTACATCTCTGCCCTGGTCACTGTCCATAGGCCACTTTCCCCCCATTCTGCAGAAGAAAGCAATATGGTAATAAGAAAGCATTTCTCTTTGATTCTGAATTCATTTTTCTACAGATAGATTTACCTTTCTTGTTAGTTTAAAGGTAAATTATTTTTTTAGGACTAAGATTTAGGAACTCTGAATTCTATCTAGCTGCTGCTAATCGCTGTGGCCTAATAAAATCCCTTGCCTGCTCTTGTCCTCAATCTCCACTGCTGTAAAGAAGAGCTGGGATCTATCCCAAGCCCTGCTACATATCAGAACTGCTTGGGCAGCTCCATTCCCACAGATTGGGATTCCCTAGGTTTCAGAGGGGGTTTAGCCATCTGTGTACTGGTAGGTTGAGGTTGGCTTGGGCAGAAGGTCTTCCAGGCCCCTTCAGCTAAGCCTGGCAAAATTGAGTGACTGGGTGACAGTGGCTTTCCTTTCATGATGAGCTATGAGAAATACCCTCGCCCCCTCACTAGACCTGACCTGTCCTCAAGTCCCACTCCCACCCCTCTAGTCTGATCTTATGTAGAGAAGGAATAGACCCTCATTACTTTAGGAGCAGGAGCTGATGGCATTGGATTCTGTATTATAGAGCTTCAGCCAAGTGGCCCAACTTTATTTATTTTTTTTACTGAACCTAGGCTTTACTCCTCTTTTTGCAACCTGGAGGGAGATCACTGGGGGGTCTAGCCTCAGAGACATAGAGGAAACATGATTTTCAAATGGTTGAATACTTCGGTCTCTAGATGAGGAGGCTGGTGGATATTCTCTCTGCCGTGGCTCTCCTGGCTGAGAACAAGGCTAGGCAGATTTAAACATCCAAGTTGGTTCTCTGCCACCTCAAGTCATTCACCCACACAGCTCACATCTGAGTGGCTGCCTCCCCTGTTGTTTGGCATCCTCAGCAGAGGCAAACTCATTTCAATATAAGCCAAAGCAAAGTCTAATTAGGACAGTAAATCTGCTGTTTAACTAAAAGAGGTCCTACAACAGATTTCTAAGTCCTGGAGAAGTAATTTGATGCTGAGCCTTTGATGTAATTGCTTCTAGCCTGGAAACAAAAGTCAATTCGAGGTAACCTGTTTGCTGCAGAAAATGCAACATGCCTGTTATGAGACAGTTTGAGGTGGCAGGAATGGGGACATCATGAAAACCTTTTTTTCTTTCTGTGCTTGGCTATATAACTTTAACCTTATACCTACTAACCTGCATCAGCATCCTCACTTCCGTTTATTGGACATTTACCACTTATCAGGCCATGAAATACAGATTTTATATGCATTTTCTCTTCAGTGCATAATAGCCCTATGAGGCAGATTTTGATAATCCCATTTTATGGGTGATAAAACTGAAGTTCACAGAGGCTAGTGACTTCCAGAGTTGCACACCATGTAAGCAGAGGAGCTAGGTCTGAAGCCATCCGTGCTCCTAAACTTTGTGCTGCCTTGCTGCTGCTTAAACTAAGGAGGCCACAAACCATGATGCTGAGCTCCAGGTTAGGTTCCCTCCACCCACCCCAGCCTCTCTTCCTTTCCTTCATATTCCTCAGCAAGATCTATACTTCTCCACACATCAGGCTTATGGCCTCTAAGCCATACTTGCCTCTGAGCTCCCATCTGGGCCACTTCTCAGCTGGGGAGGAAAGGACTGTTCATCTCACTCTGGTGGTCCTAGTGCTGGTGCTCAAGGTAGGGTGGACAGTGGGAGCTTCTGTGGAGAAGGGCATTTGGGCAAAAGAAGGGCCTAGGCACCTGGACTTCATTTGCTCCTCCATTTGGGTGGCTGCAGGCAGGACTTCTGTTCCCCATGAGCCACAGTGTTCCAGACCAGAAAGGATTCAGTGGGATTGAGGGCATCTGAAAATGACTTTGGGGTCATCCTGATTGCTGAGCTCCCACTGTGTTCCTTAGTCTGCCTGCTTTATCAGTGCTTTTTGAAGAACACTATAGAGACTTTTCTGCAGGGTTTCCTCCTGAAAGTGGCCCCTGCTCCCCAAGCCCAGGGCTGGACTTTGCTGGCCCAGCTGTCTCCCTTCCCTTCTTCTGCCTCCCCTCCCCTCCCCTAGCTCTTGTGGCCCAACACTGACCAGGCTGCCCACCTCTGACAGCAGGTCCTTTTGGCGTTGGTTTGGTGAACTGCTGATCGGCCCAGCTTGCCCTACACTCCAGTGATTCCCTGGCTCCTGGCTTCTAGTCCGTCTGAGCTCCCTCTTTCCTGGGAAGATGTTCCTGGTGGGCCTGACAGGGGGCATTGCCTCAGGCAAGAGTTCTGTGATCCAGGTGTTCCAGCAGCTGGGCTGTGCAGTGATTGATGTGGATGTCATTGCTCGGCATGGTGAGTTGGAGTGGATGGGTTGAGGGATCATGCATAGCAGCTCCTCTGTGCTTCCTTTTCTGTCAGCCTCCCCTTTTGTCAGTCCCTTAGAGGCCTCAGAGGTGAGGGAGGCTTTCCCGTCGCTGTGGCCTGGTTTCCTGTCTCTGCCCCTGCTGGTGCTCGTGCTTCTTCTGTTTACTCTTCTTTCCCTTAGGAGTCTCCCCATCCTCCACCTGGTTCCTTCACCAGCATGAAGGATTCTGTGCACTGTGCTGTTAGCTTCAATTGCTTTTCCCTTCCTTATTTTGTTTTTGCTTCAACTAAAAGAAATACCCTTGGGTTCCCTCATTATTTTTCCTCTGGTAACTTGGGGTCCTCTGGCTTGCTGGAGGTTCCGTAGAGTTGATCCAGTCTCCTCTTTATGCCATAGTCGTCCAGCCAGGATATCCTGCACACCGGCGCATTGTGGAGGCCTTTGGCACTGAGGTCTTACTAGAGAATGGCGATATCAATCGCAAGGTCCTGGGGGACCTGATCTTCAACCAACCTGACCGGCGACATTTACTCAATACCATCACCCATCCTGAGATCCGTAAGGAAATGATGAAGGAGACCTTCAAGTACTTCCTTCGTGGTGAGACCCTGGGCCTGAGGTGGGAAGGGGGAGCTGGTTAGCTAGGTCAGTGAGTTCATATTGCTTATTGGCAATCCCCCTCCATGCAGAGACCTGTGCCAGCCCCAGAGGAAAGAAGCACATTTCCCTCAACTCTTAAGGAAGTTGACAGTTTAATGAGAAGAGACACATGAGGCTTTTGAGCCATGATTCCCAGGAAGTAAGTTGATTTTTCTAGTAGGGACAGAAATAATGATAGTTGACGAGTATTGGAGTCACAGACCTGAAGTCAAGTTCTGACCCTGACTGTTTGTAGCTGTGTGACTTTGTCAAGTGGTCCAGTTCCTCAGCCTGTTTCCTCATCTGCACAGTGCAGATCATGCCAGCGTTGAAAACACTGGAAGATGGAATGTCCCTGTTAGTGACGTCATTACACAGTATAAACTGTAGTCAGAGTCAGTTTTGGTGCTGGTGCTGGCTACTTGGGAAAATGTATAGACTGGAAATAGGAAGACCCAAGATGACCTGGGTGAGGGCCGGAGGGGTTCCAAATAAAGGATCATCCTCTGGGAATAGGGCCTCTCAGAGTTAGGCTAGCAGGTGCAGGGACAGCCAGGAATGTGCCACAACTGAAAGGAAGAGAGAATTTGAAAAGGAGGGGTCTGTGGTCAGTTGATAAGAACCTACCAAGGCCTATACCCTGGTTCAAGCCCTGTTTTTCCGGATAGTGTTGGGCATCCTGACTCTTACTGTCCAGGATGGAGTCCAGGATAGGTACGAGGATAGAAAGACTGGCCTGGGGCCCTGGAGCATTTTGTACCAGCCTTTGGAATATATGACCCCTAGCCTGGACCTGAATTGAAGGCCTGGCTGCCTGCCTCCTGTCAGTGATGATGAGAAGACTACTTCCAAGGGAGTACAGGGAAGGCTTTTAGACTGTCACCTCAAGTTCTTAGGTATGAGTGGGAGACTTCCCCCTCCCCCAGCCCCGTTGACTAGTACCTCCCTCCAGAGAAAGAGGGGAGACAGATATGCATGCTACCACCCTGCCACTCCCTGCAGTCCAGGGATTGACCTGTCTCTGGGCATCCGCCCTGTGAGATCACCTCACGCTATCCATCCCAGTAGCCCCTTGCCACAGGCCTCCTCCTCTCCTCCTCACTCAAGAAAAGTCTCTGGATTCTGTCTTCTGTGTCTGTGTTGTCCCCTCCTAGCCCCACCCAGGAGCAAGCCTTCTGCCTTTCATTCCTGCCCTTTGTATTTGCTCCCAGGCCAGTTACAAGTACATCTGCAGGGCTGTGAGGCGCGAGTGGCTCTCCCCTTCCAAAATTAAGCATCAGATAATGTCACCCGCTCCAGAGCTCTCCCACTGTGTCATCTACGCAGCCTCCCCGCCTCCCCGCCTCCCCAACCACCACCACTTTAATAAAAGCCAGAAAGCTCTTTTCAGCTCGATAAGGTGAAAAATGGGGACGACAGCTGTGGCTTCCACAGTCCCAGTTTTTCCCTGATGAGTAGAACAAATACAACTGTCAGAGTTGGTATAATCAAACGTCAGATAAGATCACCAGCTGTTGGGGAGGTCTCTGTGTAGGCAGACGGATGTCTTAATAGAGTCAGGATAGTTTGCAGGGCTTATCAAGCAGGAGGGATGTGACAGCTGAATAGCCTTTTGCTGGTGAACCAAAGAGCTGGCCACCAGCTCCCGAGAGGGACTCAGGAGAAAGGATAGTGTGGGGAGAAGAAGCAGTGGGAGCAGAGCAGGAAAAGGAGATAAGCGGCCCAGAGAGGATCTGGTCTTTTCTCCTGCTCTGAGCTGGGAAGAGTGAGTTGGCGGGCAGGGTGGGGAATCTGCACTGCTTTCCTCCCTCCTCTGAGGAACAATAGTAATAATACCCATCATGTATGGGGTACTTAGTGAGGGGCGAGGTGGTTTACATGCATTCAAAATTCTTTTTTAATCTTTACCATCATCCTGAAAAACAGGTATTTCTTTTAGTCATTACACAGATAAGGTTTGTCTTAACACCAGAGTCACATGAAGGGATGTAGGGGACTACAAACCAGGGTGTGTCAGCAGAGCCCTTGCTCCAACCTCTGTCTTAACTTCAGGCTTCTCTTATGCTTCCTGGGCAGCAGGTCTTGGGAACCCAACAGCACTCCCTGCATCATATTGAGGGCTCATTTCCCACGACAGTCCTAAAATTGGTTTGATGGTGTCCGGTTCTGTGAAACACCATCTTGGCTAGGAGTCTCTGTCCCTTATCCTGACTGCTCCCCACCCCTCCCACTTCTGTACACCCACACAAGGATGACTGGTATAAAGAAATAAGCATGTCATCAACTTTTCTGGGCAAATATCACTCATAGTAGGTGAGGGAGCACCCTGACTGGCTTTGGCTTGTGATGGGAAAGCCAACAGCGCCTTTTCTCCATTGAATGATTGGGTGCCATTAGTCATCACCATGCCCACTGCCTCTGACCTCTTTCCTTTTGGGCTGTTGCTGCCACCCCTCTGTGGGTCTTTCATAGAGCTAGCCACAAGACCCTTAGCAACAGAGGGCCAGGCCTAGACCTGGATCCTGGAGGAGAACCTAACCTTTGGGGTTTTTTGGTTTGTTTTTGTTTGTGGGTTGTTGGTTTTTTTGTTTGTTTTGTTTTGAGCAAAGGTAAGATGAAGTAAGGCAGAAAGAGCCCAGATGCTCTTGGAAACTCTCCCCAGCCTCCTGCAACTCTGGCTGTGTCCTGTCCCTACTCAAAAATAGCACCTCTTGGGGTTCAAGATCAAGGTGAACTAAACCCTCTGTGCTTATGCTGACCACCTGCAGCCCCCCTCTGTTCTGCTTAAAGCTTCCATTTTGGCCACACAGGAGCTCTGTATGCGACTTCCCACCTCTTCCTTCTCATTTCAAGAATCAGCAATCATCCCTACTTTCCAAGGCCAGAACAAATGCCAGCCCTTCTTCAAGGTCTTCCCTTATCAAGCAGCTAGAAATGATTTTTTGTAGCAGTCTGCTCTGCATGGCATTGAACTGGCTGGTGTTCAGAGTATGTCTGCCTTGGAAGGCCTCCTCTCTGCTGGGGTGCTGTAGATGGTGGGGCCAGTCATGTAAGCAGTCCTCTGAGTGCTTGCAGAATTGAACTTGTAGGCTTTCCCACCTCTCCCCAGGATACCGCTATGTGATTCTGGATATCCCCCTGCTGTTTGAGACCAAGAAGCTGCTCAAGTACATGAAGCACACGGTGGTAGTGTACTGGTGAGTATGTGATATGATGTTACCTGGCCCAGCCTGACTGAGGTGGGAAAGGAAGGCCCCTGGGTTAAGGTGTGTATTTGGGAAATAGCCCACATCACTTTTTCTTCTCCCTGTGGGGATAGCCAGGACACACGGAGGGTTTGGGCAGCAGTGCTCTGAGCCTATAGAAACCAATTTCTGTGAATGACCCAGATATATCTGGGGCAGGTATGGAAAGTGATAGGCCCCCAAACCCTAGTGCTTGGGAAGGACTCCCCCTGCTGGCCATTGGAGGCACTTCAGCCCAGATGGCAGGCCTTGCCCTTGGCTACCACTGACTCCCTTTTTCCTCCTGGAGCACCTCTCAACTTTCCAAACTCCCACATTTGCCCCTTCATTCACTTTACCTTTCAGCATGAGATGTTCAGGACAAGGGTGAATATTTTTTAATTATTAGAAGAGAAATTAAAGGGAACAGTTACAAAACTTTTCGAGGGGCTGCTCATTGGTGACACTATGAACAGAAAACTGGAGAGAGCTGTCAGAGCCCAGCTGAATAAGGAGCTTTGTTTTCAGAATCTTCCAGGACAAGAAGCAAACCAGAATCCAGGTTTGGCAAACAGAAGAATCAAACTGTCAGGGAGAATGAGTCACACAGTCCCTGAGGGGTAAGAGAGTAGAGAGGCTGTGGGGTGTCTCTGCTTCCCAGAAACTTTTTGAATGCCACCCACAAATATAGCAGCACATAGGTGGGCACTTGGCTCTGCAAGTATTTTGGGCACAGGTGGCTCTCAAGAGATAAATGTGTGGGAGGTTGCTTGCACACTGGAGGTGGGGCCTGAATGCTCAGTGCCCTGGGAACCACCCTGCCCTCTCTGGCACCTCTCCTGTGGCTGTCACTTAAAGCTCAGTCTGAATTCCTTGAGCCAGGTGGGGGACTCAGGCATCCTCTGAGCTCTCCCAGTGGGTTAGGCCTCTGCACGTAAATCTGGAATCTGTCTTTGTTCTTTGTTTCCTATTTGTGAAAGACTCAACTGAGGCAAGGTGGGCCCCATGAAGTCCTGGGATTTTCTTTGCCTTAATAATGCAATTGGAACTTTATACCTAGGGGTAAAATACACACACACACACACACACACACACTTAGATCTTAGTGTAGGTGAGAAAATGAAAAACAGGAGTCAGTTGTTTCTGCAGCCTCCAGATGACTCCATATCTGCCCTTGCCCCCTTCTCTCAAAGACAAGCATCTTTGAGGTTGGCCTGTTTGCTAAGAGCAATGATAAATAGTTGCAACTTCTGGTGGATGAGTAGGATTATGTTGATTCTGCCTGCTTTCTAGGGGAACTTTCAGCCCCACCCACTTGCAGGTAGATTCCTGGTAGTCTCATGTCCCACCTATAGCCCATGAGGGTGTACAGCTCTCAAGAGAAGCCAAAGAGACAGTGATTATTTGCTTTTCAACAAATTGATTTATGCTTTACTTGGTGAACTATGTCTGGATAAATTTGAAATAATGTGGGAGATTTCCAGAGTGCTTACACACTAATATGATTATTCATGTATTTGAGGAATTTGACAATTGTGGAATTAGTGTTTGGGTAAGAATACCAAAGTCATAAATACCTAAGCCTTAAATTAACTATAATGGTCCTATTTATCAGCCCCAGGAAGGGCTGTGAGAGGGTGCCGCCTTCACATCTGGGAGGGGGTCCTTTGGGCTGGGCCATACCTTCTGAAGGATTTCCACTCAGCCTCAAGCCACCTTCATTCTCACTTGGATCCCCAGTCACAGACATGTGCATTCCTGAGTAAGGGTGAATATAGTCCTGTTCTCAGCCAGACAGGAAGCAGCTCCAAGACCTCAGCAGTACACTGTACTCCCATGAGGAAGGAAGTTCATTTTCATGGAGGGTGACCTTGTTCTTAGGGTCTCAGAGAAGGGACTAAACTGGAGTGATGAGATCCCATTTCATTTCATAGCTGGGAAAATTCATGCCTGTTACAATCTGAGAAAAGATGGACACAAACAGGTACTGCAGCCTCTTCCCCTCTTGTTCTCATTGAGGGGCTGAGGTAGCTCATAGAGCTAAGGTGTTCCAGGGGACACTGACCACAACCAGACAAGCGGCATGGATCCTGTGTAGCAGAAGACAGGAGAGGGAGTTTACTGAGAAAGGACCTGATGGCCATATCAGGGTGGGTAAGAGGAATTCTTTGGCTAGGCCCACTGGCACATGTCTGTGATCTCAGTGACTTGGGAGGCTGAGTCAGGAGGATCACAAGTTCAGGGCCAGTATGGGCAACTTAGCAAAAGCCCATCTCAAAATAAAAACCAAAAGGCTGAGGGTGTAGCTCACAGTTAGAGCACTCCTGGGTTCAGTCCCTTTAAAATTTTTCTTGGAATTGAGAACAGTATTGGTTAGCTTGATCCACAGTGATTGGTCCTATTCTAAGTCTGAGGGGGTCCAAGTTTTGAGCCCTCTTTACTCTTTGAAGGGACTCACCTGTCCTTCATCAGTGGCATCAAGCATAGCAGCCACCATCTCAGCACAGTCTTTGCTTTAAATGCACAGGCATAGGGGTGTGGAGGCAAGGAGAGGAGTCTTTTTCAGTGTCCCAGGAAGCTAGTTTTGATAATGCAGACTTGGGTCCCCAGGGGACCTGCCGGAAGTGTTCAGCTTGTGAGCACAGGCATTTCAGCAAAGGTCATCCATCCAGAGATCCAGGATATAGCTGATCCCAGGTGATTAAATTCTCCTATCTTACATCTGGGGACTCTAAGGCCTAGTGGCAAAGCAGAGAGACCCCAGATGGCAGAAAACAGCTGCTCCTCCTTTTTGATATTAAGGGGCTTAGGTGGCCCACAGAGCTATATGGCCCTTACCAAGAGTGGGGTGAGGGGGAAGAAGCTAATGAGCTTCCGGGCCTCTCTCCCTGGTTATGGGACCCTTAGTATCCCAGAGCAGCATAGGATTCAAGGAAAGATCCCATCCCCAGACCCCTGCCCACCCTTATACCTTGCTGGCAAGAGGGAGGCTGGGGCCTATAGTGCCCTTTTGCCCTGTCCTTAGTGATCGAGACACACAACTGGCGCGGCTGATGAAGAGGAACAACCTGAACCGGGAGGATGCAGAGGCCCGCATCAAGGCCCAGCTGCCCCTAAAGGACAAGGCCCGCATGGCTGACCACGTTCTAGACAACTCGGGCGAGTGGAGCATCACCAAACGCCAGGTCATCCTCTTGCATGCTCAACTGGAGAGCTCCCTGGAGTACTTGCCACTAAGGCTCGGGGTCCTCACAGGTCTGGCTGGAATTGCCAGCCTCCTCTACCTGTTTACCCGCTACCTTCTGCCTTCCCCCTAGGTGGGCAAACCAAAGCAGGAAGCCCCAGGCCTTTGTCTCCTTGGAGGCCAAAGCTAGATACCACCTTTTGTCTTCCCCCAGCTTCTTCAACATACATACATGCACCACACACACACATACACACACACACACACACACACACACACACACTATGAATCTTGGCTGGACCACTGCTCTAGGCCAACCTTTCTTTATAGTGTGTTCTTTCTGAGGCTGAGAAGTAATCTATTGTCAATAGGTATGCCTTCCCAGCCTCCCCAGTGCCCCTCCCTCCCCTGGCAGCACCTATAGAACACTACAGAACAATGTCTGTGATGGCAAAAAGCATCAGTTACATTGGTATGGACTCCTGTGGGCAGGAGTGGGAGCAGTGTTTTGTGGCCCTCACCAGTGTTTACAGCTGGGAGGCCAAGGAATCCCTGAGCTTGAACCTTCTCTGAACACCTGCCCCATCAAAGCCAATACTTGGTTAGTAGACCATGGGGATGCCTTCAGCCTTCCATCTTCAAACAGGGTTCTCTCCTAGGTTAAAGTGAGGATTTACTCATGGGTAATGCTGTAACCAGGCAGAAGCAGAAGTTCTGGGAGACTCCCCTTCTTAGTGGGTTCTTCCAGTGTTCACCATCCCTTGCCCACTGCCTCCTACCACTAAGCCTCCTAGCCCTGAACCCTTGGTACTCTACAGCCACCACGCTGTTTCTCACCTCTGTGCCTTTCTCCAGGTGCTGCCTGGCCTGGAATATTTTTTCCCCCACTACAGCTGGCTAACAGCTCAGACACCAAGCCCCAGGCTGGGTTAGGTGCTCTGGGATACCACCCTCTTGTGTTTTTCCTTAATCATTGGCATAGTAATCAACCAAAAGTTGGTTGGTTTCTTCTAGACTGTACGCCTCTTGTGGGCAGGGTCTGTCTCCTTCAAACCTGTTTTCCTAGTGCAGAGCTGGCTCGCCATTGGTGCTCAATAAAGTATGTTGATTTGAAATACCTTGAACCAACTAAGGTGTCCAAATCTGGTGGATACCATTTGGGGTTCCACTTGGCTTCTTCCCACATGGAAACCTGGGTGCTGGGAGGACTTATGCCAAGCCCACTGTCCCTTTTTTTTTTTTTAAGGAGAGAGGTGAGAGAGAGAGAGAGAGAGAAGAGAATTTTTGATATTTATTTTTCAGTTTTTGGCGGACACAACATCTTTGTTTGTATGTGATGCTGAGGATTGAACCCGGGCCCCACGCATGCTAGGCGAGCGCGATACCACTTGAGCCACATCCCAAGCCCCCCCACTGTACCTTTGTGAAAGGTGGGTGGGGGTGCTTGGGCAGCATTACACATACCCATAGCCACCACCTCAACCGATCTGTAATCCCAGTGATTTTAGGAGGCTAAGGCAGAGAATTGCAAGTTTGAGACCAGTCTAGGCAACTCAATGAGACCCTGCCTCAAAATAAAATGGTAAAGCACTTGCCTAGCATGTGTGAGGCCCTGGGTTCAATCCCCAGCGTTGCCAAAATTAAAAAAAAATAGACACTAGCCTTCACTACCAGCACCCACAGATCTGCTGATAAGTGCGAATCCAGCACTAGCAGCCTCTTAAGGCCAGAAAAAAGTGACTAATGTGGTACAGTTGTGGCCATAGTTGATGCCTCTTTCCTAGAGCTGCTCAGACCTCAGAGACCAGCTCATTAACTCACTGCAAATTCCCAAGGAGCAAAGAAGGACTGGGCTTGGAAGTGGCAAAACCTGCTGCTTCCCCAGTTTGATAGGGCCTGGCAGGACCTGGGGGTGGGGAGGGGCATATGGACTTTCGTGATGCTGTTAGCCCAGTAATTAAGAAAATTATTTCACGGCTGGGTGTGGTGGTACACGTACTTGTAATCCCAGCAATGGGAGGCTGAAACAGTTCAAAGCCAGCCTCAGCAACTTGGCAAGACTGCCCCAAAAGTGGCAAGGGATGTGGCCCAGTGGTTACATGCCCCTGGGTTCAATCCCTGGTACCAAGAAAGAAAATGACTTAATTGACTTAATGGATGTCTGTAAACACTACTGCATCTGTCCAGTCTGTAGCTGACATTCATTTGTATTTACTCCAGGCCTTCTGGTTGAGGGGTTCAATTTGGGGTGACCAGCCAGGCTCCATACTCTGCCCCCTTCTCAGGAGGATAAGGAGACCTGGGAATTTTTTTTTTAATATTTGTTTTTTTAGTTGTAGTTGGACATGATACCTTTATTTTAATTATTTATAAATTGAATCCAGGGCCTTGCACATACTAGGCAAGCGCTTTACTGCTGAGCCACAACCCCAGGCACCAGAGGTCCAGAGCTTGGGTTGAAGTAACCAACAAGAGTAACACCAAGCTTCTCAAAATCCCCCACCTGGGATTTTGACCCAGCTCTCTACTTGCTGTTTGACCTCCTGCCTTAGATTTATAAAGGCAGGCTTTTATATGACGTAACAAAAGGTTGACAGTGAAAAACCTTTGGTTACTGTAAAATTCCAAATAATTCACTTCCCTGGCCCAGCCTGCTGAGTTTGATGTAGAACTCAGAGGTGGGGCAGGCTGGAAGGTGTGGAGAAGCTGTAAATGCGTCCTGTCCTGGCCCTGGTCCGTACCTCTGCTCTGCTGCTCCTTACTCCTGGTCTCCCTGTCCCAGGCTGGTGGAAGGCAGCCTTAGAAGCCTGCCTCCAAGAGCCAGACTTCAGCTAGGGGCCACTTGTGCAAACAGCCAAAGCCCAGCCCCGCGCCGAAGAGAGCAGCCTCCCCTGCGGCCGGCAGGTGGCAGCACACTCCGGGATTGGAACCCGGCCCAGGCGGCGCGCGCTCAGGGAGCGCTTCCTAACTTTCTCCCTCGGGATGGTGGCGGGCGAGGCACGGGCGAGCGCCTGCTCCTGAGCGCCGAGGCTACGGTCCCCGATACCCTGCGTGCTCTCCTGATGTGGGACGAAGGGACGTGGCTCTATCCCCTACCCGCAGCTATGTGCCCGGGGCCTTTTTCCCATTCCCCAGCTTCACTCAACACCCGGGCGGAGCAACAAGGACGCCTGCGAGGGCTGCAGGCTCACCCGCCTCTTGGACCGATGAAGGGCAGGGCACGGGCAGGCCCTTAAAACCATTCTTGTCCGCAGGCCGGGCTGGCCCAAGGGTAATTTGCAGTTTTACAGTTTTCAAAGCACCTTCACGCGGTTATCTCAAGTCTGAAGTCTGCGAGGGAGTGAGGGAGGCAGGGCCAGGATTTTACAGAGGTCCTAAGCTTGGGCTGAAGTAACCCGCGAGAGTAACGCGAAGCTGCTCGACTCCAGCATGGTGCCCCTCCCGCTACTTTCACTGCCCGGGTCAATTACACCTTGGTAGTGGCATGGGGATTGAACACAGGGCCTCACCCGCGCTGAGCAAGCACTCTAATACTGAGTTACACTCCCAGCCCTTTAAAAAAAATTATTTTTTTTTGCGTGATACTGGTGAATGAAACCAGGAGAGCTCAACCACTGAACTACTTCCCCCAGCCCTTTATTTATGTATTATTTTGAGACACGGGCTTGCTAAATTGTGCGGGCTGGCCTCCAACTTACTATCCTCCTGCCCGTCCTCCCAAGTTGGTGGGATTAGACCTGTGCCACTGCACTGATTCCTTGGTCTTTAGTAGTTATTGACGATCTTTCTTCAGCTCTGTTCTGTTTCCTTAGGGGAACGTGAGGGGCAAGGAAAGATTTGGGACTCTCCATGATCAGCTTTCATGATCAGAAATGGGATGGGAGAGGAATCATGTCTGCTGAGCACCCCTTGTCCTCACAAAAGCACTTGAGGTCAGTGAAAAACAATCTCAGGGGCAGGAGAGGGAATAGGGTGGCAGTGATGACCCCAGGCCACGGGGGCACATGGGAGCCGGCAGGGGAGACCCTTGGAGATGTCTGGAGAGAAGGTTAGAAGTGGAAGAGGTGATGTGGTGTCATGGGTTGCTTTCCTGCTTGTTCCAAGAAAGAGGAGTCATGGCTGGTTGTGACTCCTCTGTCTTCTGGGTAGAGCTGAGGCTGCACCCAGCTGGGTCCCAAAGCTGCTTCTCTTTGCCCCCACCTTCCCTCCCCTCCCCATCGCTCAGATTCCAATACAATTTCCAGCTAACCAGCATGTCGATAGAACAAGTCGGGCGGCCGGATTGCTGGCCAATTACAGGAAATCATTCTGCTCCACAGCTCAGCGCTCCTGGAGAGGGAGGGAGGGAGGGACTGAAGGAGCAGTCGCCCAGCTAGCAGGCTGGGAAGGGGCTCCAGGCAGAAAGCAGGGAGTGCTGCAGCCCCCGGGGCAGGAAAGGATGGATGGGAAGGCTCCTGGGGACAGACTGGCCTGGGGCTCTTCCTCAGCCTCACTCAAAGCTCTGGATCCAGCTTCTCTGTGATGGGGAGGTTGATGCCCCAAGCCACAAAGAGAGCTGGGGGCTGAGGGTGGATGAAGAGGGTCCTGGAGGGAAGGCATTTGCTTGAAGCTGAAGAGGATAGGATGGGGGGATGGTGAGACCAGCCTCCTATAGAACCCCAAGGAGTGGGGGTGGAAATGGGGATGGCATCCAGGCCTCACCCAGGGGAGCCCTGTAGGGCTGTCTGGGGGCCTGGAAGCTGGAGCCACACAGGCAAGACCTGTACTTCCACAGCAGGCCCTGGCCAAGAGTATCCCAAGGGAAGTGGGAATTGGGGATGAGAGGGGCCCAGCCTGCAGCTGAGAGGACTAGCAGCAGCCTGGCTTGAGGAAAGGGTGAGTTTTCCACCCCAGCTTCCCTTCCACTCCAGAAGGCAGGCTGCAGAAGTTGGGGGCGGGGGTCAGACAGTACTCTTCACTTAGCTTCCCAGCTCTTTAATTTCCACCTCCGGATCTCAGGTTAAAGTCCCCTCCGCCCCCTATCTATCCCACCTTCTGTGCCCACCTGGAGGCTTGTTTGCCTACTCCAACCCTACCCCTCATCATGTCTCTCCCCAACTGTTTTAGGCCCTCTTCCAAACTTCCTGCCCAACCAGCAGACCCAGCTCCCCAGCTCAAAGAGGAGCTCCTCTTCCCTGCTCCTGGGTGTTTCCTTCAAAGTACTGGAAGATCCTTGAGGAACAGAAAATTACCTAGGACTAATTCCACCCAATGATTGACTATTGTTGCTATTTACAACCCCAAAAGGAGACTTCTGGGATCCAGTGACTTCCTCTGCTCCAGTCTGTATAGCCACCAACCCAGGTACCTTCCCCAATTCCCCAGGATCTCACTGCTCTTTCCCCAATTCCAAACCTTCTTGGAATCCCTCCGGGCTGGGGCCTGGGTTGAATTCACTTCTAGCTCTTTGGCCAAGTTAGTGGTGGACATATGGATCGACATGAAAGGAGAGATGCTGAAGGATTGTTCGAAGTTCCTTTGCTGCGGTGAACTGGGGTGGGGCGGGGAGCAGCAGGGCCAGTGCTCCGGGACCTCTCTTTCTCCGAAGTCTCTGCCCCAGTTCACAGGTTCAGACAGGCGGGGAGGAAGTGTCCGAACTGCCTCTATTTGTGTCCATCGCATGGCACATGGTGGGCGGTTGTCCGCTCCGGCGAGCTGAGATTAAGCTCCTGCGCCCGGACTCTAATGCCGCCTCCGCTGTCCCTCCCTCGCCATAGCCTCTCGCAGGCCGGGAGCCCGGTGCTCGGCGATCCGGAAGAGGGCGCCCGCCCTGCCCTAGTCCGCGGTGTCCCCCGCCCGGCTCGCGGCGCTCTGCAGCCCGCAGGCTCGGTGCCATCGATCGGGCCGCAGGGACCCGGGCACGCCGCCTACCCACCCCTCGCTTTTCGCTTTTAATTGAAGTTTGTTTGAGCAGAGCGTGGAGCAGGCAGAAGCAGAAACCAAATATTTAGTTGCTGCAAATTGGCACCTCCAGATCAATTACCCGGCCCGTGTCAGGGCCTGCGCCGCCCCCCGCGCCCTGCAGAATCTCAATGCCGCGCTGCCCGCGCCCGGGCAGCCCGCGCCGCCCGCCTCCATTCCAGCGCACG